TTATGTTAGAAAAAATTGAGCTAAGTTTGTACATTTACTTCGAGGGAACTAGGAGATCATTAGAAAAATTATTAAAAGTAAAAAGGGTGATAAGGAATCAAAACAGATTCCTAGGGGATTTCAAAAGTTCCACCGATGGGCACTAATAAATGAATAAATAAAGAAATAGAAAGAACCATAGTTACAAGAAATAATAATAATAATAATAATAATAGTTACAATTGATCTATTGCAAATTCTCCACAAAAACCATACGAGGCAACATATAAATCTAATTTCACATATCATTTGAAATCTAGGAAATAATTAAAAAGGTAACACTCATTTACTAACCTCACTGGTTCCCCCATTACAATCAATTTGTATGAAAACCAACCATTAATACGAAGGAAGAACATAACCCAAAGTAATAATTGAACTAAACATTGAAAATGCATAAGAGAATGAACTGATAGGTAAATAGACCAAACCAAAAGAATAATATCCGATGGACTCGCCTACAAAAGTAGAGTGTCATACCTCATTCAAATTTCTCGTAGCAGTCGAAATGATTTTCTCCGACTCTGATGGAAGCATGATTGACCAAACATCCTTGCTCTCAAAGCAGTAGTCATCCAAGATATCAATGCAGTTTCTCTTTAAGGCATGACCTTTAATAACGCCACTGTCAGCCTCAACTGAATACCAGTATATGTTTGAAAATTCAGATTGCAGAATACTAATGGCTTCAGAAGTTTGTGGGTACAAATGAGCACGACTCTCAGCATCTATTAAAATATGGAGGCGTTGTTCTGTTGAATCAGTAAGTGGAAGTGGAATGACTTGTACAACCGAGTGAACCTGGCTTGATGAACCAATCTCCTTCCCCGTGTAAGTGTCAACAAATGAAAGAAAACCTGGTCCACCCATACTTTGTCCACAACGGCCAACAATGAGTACAGATGGATTCTCATCCATGGCACGATGGTGGGGGTCTTGCCATTGATAAATGTTGAGCCATCTTGGAGTACAAGCTTCTGATTTACGGAAAGGATGCAGTAATAGAGACCATACAATGCGACCGTCTCCAGAGTGCAGGGCATAGAGTTTTCCCGATTTAGTAAGAACAATCAGCAGTTTGCGGAATCCATTATGGTCCCGACTCAATTTGCTCTTGTCAGAACTCTTCAACCTCATATTTTGAATAGCTGCCACATCCTCAGGGCTTGCAATCATTAAAGTTCCCTTGAGCTTCAGCAGATGTCCCTTTCAAAAACAGGACATATCAAAGAGCACCTTGTCAGAGAAGAAACATTTAAAGAGATACCAGTATTTCGTTTTTAAACAACTAGCCAGGACAAGAAAAATAAGAAAATATTCAAATTATAGAATACCAAGTAATAGTCACCAAATAGTACGTTGAAAATGTATACAGCAATTATGTTTAATCTTAGAGAACATTGTCGGTTTGTCATAATTTAATTCATGAAATTTCCAAAGAGTTTCCATACCTGTAGCCATTCAATGAGATTGTTCTCCACCTTTGCTATAGAAACGCCTTTTTTTTCAACAGGCAGTTCAGATGTCACTACATTTATGATAGAGGCAAGGCCATCTTCCCTACTCCACACAATTTCACCTTGTTGCACTAACAACAGTGAATGGTCTTCCATGACAATCAGAGCCCTGAACCCATGGGACCTATCCGTTCGGATATAAGAATTTAAAAAAACCTTATGTACAAATCCTCTTTGGTCATCGATTACTATGTTTTCTTCAAGAAAATCACTGCTCCAGCTATCAATTAGCTTCACAGATAGATGCATATAACTGCCCTTACGCTGAACTAGAGCAACTGCACGCTGGCTCTCTGAAACTAAAAGAGAATCACTTAGAGTTGCCTGACCGTGAATTTTATCCACCACCTCCAACTCACCTTCACCTTTTACTCTTATTAATATTAAAACAGAACCAACTTCAATAGCAAGAATCCCTGAAAGCTTTGAAGGCACTATTTCCACTGACCCAGAAAATTCATCAACGAGATGTGCAATAGGTGATTGTTGAATCCCAATTTCACCATCCCTAAGGCTTAGTATAACTAGATTTGACCTAGTGGCGTCCAATGTCACAAGCACATCATCAGAAACTGATACCAATTCTCCAGAAAAACCACCAGTAAACGTTTCTGTACTGTGCTTTATCAACTCTCCACTCTTAATATTTATTTGAAACTGATCAAATTGAGTTGGACTTGAAAATCCCACAGCATAAATGATATCACTGTCATGATGCTGAATGATTTGTTGAATTTCTACGCTGAAACAGTGGTAAATCAATAATGATATCAGTTGGCACTGTGATTTTCTAAAGAACATTAAAAGTCTAACACCAAATCCACATTTGAAATACCTGTTCTCTGTTAAGTCAATCTTCCAAATAACCTCACCATCTAGGGAAGAGACAGCATGCAGACAACTTCTACCAAAAACCAGAATCACGGTCTCCTGGTTGGGTTTCAAACTTTTCTGCAAATTTTATGCCTTAAATTAACCAACTAGTTACTAGAAATTAATTCTAAAAAACCAGAACTTAACTTAGCACCAGTCCACCATAAATATTAAATAATTTGACGAAAGACATCAAATTCAGAAAATACAACATTTTGTTTGATAGGAAAAGAGAAACAATGCACACACACAAACTAGAAGCAGCAAATAAAAAATCAAATCCTTAGGTGATATCCACTTACTGGAACCAATAATAGTGACTTTGATGGCTTGGTGCCCTGAATAAAAGACTCCCACACCATCTGACCATCAGGAAGGTTCCACGCTCTTAAAAAGTTCCCCTCCGATGAAAGGGAAATGATATCTGAAAGTATATCATTAAATATTTAACTGAGAAATTAGAAGTTGAAATTTTAAGCTTAATTGGTATTCCAACAGATAGAAAGAACCAAATGTGAGCTTAATTGGTATTTATAATTTACAACAGATAGAACTAAGTAACTTCACACTTGTGCTGTCGTGCAAACCAACAATCATCAAAGAGTAACATTTTTTAAAAGAATACTCATTTCCTGACACAGAAGTTCCAAGTTCACTCTACATTCTCACTCACTCCATCTCTTGAGTCAGAATTTAGGTGGAACAGTGTAAGGATAAAATTCATCCATTACAGAGGACACTGGGATTAAGAGTAAGTATATATAACTGGAAGGTAAGATTTAAGAACTTGAAGTGCAGTTGACTTAGAAGTTATAAGTTTTACATGAAACAGTCACTTCTTTAGAAAAAAAAACAAAAGAAAAAAGAAAACCAAACGAACAAACAGTCACATCTGAAACACGAGAGATCTACATGGGCTGATTATTTGAAGTATTGAACACAAAAATTGAACAAAAATAAGTTAGGCAGTCAAATCTATAGTAAAAATAATAGAAGCACGCAACAGAACCAGCATGTTCACATGATTCTTATAAAACTCCACGAGAAATTTCCTTTGCACACAATAAGCAATTCACATGAAGGTCCAGAAACACAATAAGCAATTCACATGAAGGTCCAGAAAGGCAGAAATACTGCACTGGAGCAATATTCTAGAGATGAAAAATATATATGTGCGAGGGCATTACATTTTCCAAGGGCGAACTCAATTCCATCAATGGAATCATTGGGGCCAAGGACATGTCTCCAAACTGCACAAAGCAACCAAAGTAAGACATCGAATGATAGTCAAATAAACTATTTTCAAAATGAAAGCCAGCACTACCAATATCCATTTATCATTTAAAATCCAGAATCAACATTGTACTCTTTCTACAACCATGTTAGTACATAAAATCATTTCAAATAATTGAACTTTCCAAACTGAAACTGAATTTCATTGTGTTCAATTTTTTTATGCAAGTTTGTTGTTATAAGCTCCAATAAAACATCAAAATATTCACATGAAAACTTGACCTTTTGACTTAGATGTAGTATAATTGGTTCTCATCCCCTTGAATATTATTGGGTATAACAGGAGCATCCATTGACAAAAGGATTGCCTTAAGATGATTGTTGCTCATTACCTGGGTGATTGAACAGTGTTTTTTTTTCTCATAGAGGAAACACATATTTAAACACCTATTTGGTTGAAAAGGGTTCAGTCAGAGCCTACATAGTTAAAAATTTCAATTCGACTTCCTAGTTCATTTAGTTATTGGAAGACCCAGTAAAAAATGGTAAAGGAATGTCAGGCTTACAAATCTCGCCATGCCGAAGATCAAGTGATGCAATTACATTCTCTTCTGTAGATACTACTACACGCTTTCGCCCTGACTTTTGAGAATGGAACAATGCGTGCTTCACTTTCCCCAAGTACTGCTGGCGCCTGAAACAAAGGGATCGCGTCTATATTCTTAACAAATTGAAAGGATGCATAGTTAAAAAGCAGTTAAAATTCAACTAAAAGCTAAAGAGAACCCAGCTACTTGAGAATCCGAAATTGATAAAAGACATTCCAAGTTCATAACGTTCAGTATTAGAGTCACGTTACAGTCGATGAGGTGCAAACTAGATATACGGCATAAACCTGTCCCTCCCTGCTTTATCGAGATACTGATGGAAAATTTGAAAGAAAAGTACCAATATATTCAAATGGATTCAGAGCAGCCCAAGTATTTCGTGCATATACATACGCAAATATATTCAAGGAACAAAATCAACTACTCTAGCAGGTCAAGCATGAGGCATATTTAAGTGAGATGAGAAATTCTTCAATCTGAAGTATTCCACAAATTTCCTAGGCAACCTAGAACAGGTTAGGAATTGGAAAGAGTTCATGAGAGGGCAACTCACCAATCCATGAGGCCAACCTGATCTTCGTAAAGCGAAAATCCATAGTTCGCGAATGACGCAAATAATGCAAGGAGAAGAAGAAGATAAACCTTGATCGCCAAGACCATGGCGACTTCAACTCTCCCCTTCTCGCAGTGAGTGAGAGAGAGAGAGAGAGAGAGAGAGAGAGAGATCTGGGAATAAGGAGGAGCTCGGTCGAACGACGATGCTAATAATAATCCAGTTTTTTTATTTCTAAAGCCGGCACTAAGCTTATAATGATAATTCATTTTTTCCCTTTTCTTTTCCGAAAAATTTTATATATCACTTTCTTTTTTTTTTTTTTTTGAGATTTTACTATCTGTAGACCTTTACTTTATTTTACCAGAGCTAAATTATAATATATATATTAGAAAATTAGTCTCTAAATGGTCGATTTACTTAGAATTTGAAAATTTTGAATTACTCAAACTATAAAGGATTATGGTGCYTGCTCCGCTACACCAGTGATAGGTATTATTAACATAATTATATTATTTAGTATATAATACAAAGTTAAGAGGCTCGAGTCTTTTGAACCCACTCTAGATCTGTTTCTGTCTACAACATATCACTTGCTTTAGTACTGCAACAACAGGTAGAAATAGAGATTCGAACTTATGACACTTTGATTTAATTATTTATATATATATTTATATATTTATTATTATTATTATTATTATTATTATTTACAATTTCAGCTATGCTTACTTTTTTTTAATCAATATACATGTCAGAAGGTGTTTTTTTCGCTCAAATGGGCCAAATGACCTAATTTGTCTAATTATCTTCTAAGCTTTCAATCAATTTTGTAGAAAATAATACCAATATATTTAAATTTATGGTTTAAATACTATTTTGATTATTTCTAGCTTTTGGTTCATGTATGCTCAAAATATTTATTTTATAGTTTATCTACTTTTAATTTTAGTTTACTTTTAATTTTAATTTATTTTAACCCGTGTGTTTTGCAATTGTTTGTTTTGATCGTTGTATTTTCAAATAGTCATATTCGGTCACAATTTTAGCACTGTTTTATTTTCAATAAATTTATAAAACTCTAGCCATAATTTTGTATTAAGTAGTTTGATTGTATATAAAGTTTGTGCTCTCTTTTTCTGAGTAAACCAACCAAGTCAGATGTTTGAAAAGTATGAGAACTAAGGAGACCACAAGATAATAAAACAATAACCAAAATAAATATTTTATATTGGATCGAACCTTGATTTTTTTAGGAAAGATCATGAACACTAGTCCCTCTAACCTTAAATATAATGCCTCGAGAAAACTTTTTTTAGGGTTTTTACATGGTAGTCTTTTAAGGGCGTGAAAATATGAAGCTACCCAACTATATATACAAGACTATCAAAGGTCACTTGTTCAAGAGATTTGAGAGTCTGGTATGAATAATGGAAGAGCACTGATAAAAACAAACTTGTTGTTTTTGGTTATCTTTTTACTTTACTAATTTGAGTACATAGTTATTGTAATAATGTAGGCTAGAGTACTCATAAAGGATAAATATGTCTTTTTGAGAGTTCATCTTAAAATGGGCAAGACATTAAACTTCTATAAAAAGATGCTCATGTTTGCTGGTATTCCATTTTCAATATTGGAAGATTTTATCCATTGCACTACACATTTTTTTTTCAACTTTTATTTTTCTTTTACACAAATAGCATGTCCAACATTTCATTTATCTGTATAAAACTAATTGAGACATATATTACTAGCATTTATATTGCATTAAACACACAAAGTCACGCATGTTCACTAGAATTATAAAGATGGTCATCTCTAACTTAATAATCTATAATGATCAACGATAATTGATATATATTTCCAATCAAAATGTCGTGAGTTTTATCATCCGTCCCACATGTATTAAAAAAAAAGTTCTCTAATGATCATGGGTACCATTTAAGTAGTGTACGAACACACACTCACTCTAAATATGAAATGTCAAAGTCATTATAAGCCAATATAAACTAGTTAACATATCTTATTCATTATCTTGAAAAAAATCATTATAAGTTGACCCTCTTATGAGCCCATGGAAGAGACTAGGTAAAAGAAGCTGTCCTTACTTGTTCAGTGCTATTTCTCGGACATCAAATTACTCTTTTTTATTTTCCTGTTGATCTCACATTGAGAGCTGTTCCTACTCGTTCAGGATCATCATATGAGAGATCTCCCTCTAATTCCGAAAAATCGACCAAGCGAAGCTACCYTCGACTCACTTCTCGAGATATAAAAACTCCCCTAGAGAAGAATATTGGACAGATTTCTCATATTGTTTTCTTTTTCCTTTTTATCATAAGGCCCGTTTCGGGAGGAATTCGAATAATTCCTAATTCTTACCCGAGATGAAACCTAACTGTGTAAGCTCACACCTAATAAGTGAAAAATTATGACATAAGTCATTGATTTGTTTTTCTCATTATTTCAAATGCCCGGCTAGAGCCGTCTTAGAGCTACGTCGTGGGCCCGTCATTGGAAAATTTGCCATGAACAAACCGACATTAAAAGATGGAGGCACGGCACGGCAGCGCAGGGGGTAGGACGAGAACGTACGCAATAGAGTTAATTTGTTTGCGAGTTTTATGATTGTTGTTTTTGTTTTTCACATCTATATCATAAATTTGGATCGTAATGCTCTGACTGTAATTCAATCTTTTCAGGCGTATCTGAACTCATCCGTGCAATGCAATCAGAATTTCAGCCTCAGAAATATATTATATAATACACGACTCTCGGCCCCATATGCGTTAACCGGTATCGTCGTGTTCTTCTTGTTCCATTTTTGGTGACTGAGATGGAAGCAACTTTGTGTAATCTGCCCTTGTGCGGAACTCATCACTTTTCTTCCAATTTAATGGAAACTCAAGCTGGAAAGTTCATGTTCGAAGTGAAGCTTCCTCAATCTTTGAGGTCCAGGTCATTTCGTCTTCAGTGGGGTCGTTCTTCGAAGCTAGAGTCGCGATCCAGATCGAGCATTCGAGTATTGGCTTCCAGCTCGAACTCTGTGTATGAATCTTCGGTGTCGTCAAAAATTGAGAAAGAGGATGATGGAGGTCTTGTTTGCCCTCCTGGCTATCGGCCCACGCCTGCTAATCGCGAGCTGCGGACTCCTCACAGCGGGTAATTTAGCTGATTCTTCTAATTAGGACTTCATTTTCCAGATTTTATGGCACAAATACGCAATTGTACATCGATTTCAGAAACCCATAAAGATTATGAACCTCCTTGCCACTTGCAGCCTCAACCTACAATAAAAATTCCACTCACATCTAGCATGGCTGTCTCAGTGTCCAATTTCTTGCCACTGCTATTGTAGGGATCACTTGAATGGTTGAGGCGGTTTTCACAAATGGGCTAAATGTTTATGTGAAACCCCATTGTCTTGTATCCATGCATAGTGTTATCCGAGTTCATGTTCCATTTAAACACCCAATGATCACCAACAACATTTCAGAAAATTTCCAAATTGCGAAAACTTATAAAAAAAACTTTTTTTTTTATTTAATTAATTAATTAATTATTTCTTTTTTATAACCGGGAGTTGGTGATCTGCACCCATATACCTAGAGAGGCCCGCACCCGCCTCAATCCGGGATAGAAAACTTATAAGAACTTGTTACTAGATGATGCAAAAATCTACAGAAGAGAGTGAGCATTGAACAAGGAAAAGCAGAAATCAGATTATATTGGCAGGCATGTTAGATTGACTATTTTGAAGAGGACTAGGTAGACTTTGAACACATTTTCCTTTAGTACTACCTCCTTGGATTTGAGGTCCTTCACAAAATAAATAATAGGGTAAATTTTTATAAACACATTACTGTCATGGGTTAGTCTTGATACAGAAGACATTTTTAAGTTTAAGGATCTTTTTCTAGCAAGGAATATAAGAATGGCCTATGTGAGAGATAGGGTTGATTAATAGAGTCTTATTACCATTGGAGTTACTTTTCACTCCAATAATGGTTGCTTTGGCTGCGACGTGGTTGGTTGCTCTGGTATCAACATACCAAGCTTCATCAGTTGGAATCTCGGGAGTATCTGTGGAGACCGAAGTGGAGCCCTAATACTGCGCCTTTCCATTGTTCTTTATATCCCTCCTTCCTCACAAACAACGTCACATTTCAATGTTTACCAGTAATTAAAAAAGTTTGAATTTTCCTTTGTTTAAAGGTAGTTTCACAACAAAAATTTCGCATCTACAGTATGAATTTGCATACAATGTTTGACTTGGCCTGTTACAGTTTCTAGATAACATCTGGAGCATCTGTACCTGCTATATCCTTATTTTTGTTATGTGATCCGAGTTCAATTATTCTTATTCTGAACATAGCTGCATCAAGCAATTGGTTTATCTTGTTATATATGAATGGCAATCACTGTTTTAAGGTCCCCAATTTTCTGTACTTCCTACTTGAATCAGGTATCACTTTGATGGGAGTACTCGGAAATTCTTTGAAGGTTGGTACTTCAAGGTATCAATTCCACAGAAGAGGCAGAGTTTCTGCTTCATGTACTCGGTTGAGAACCCTGCATTTCCTAAGAAATTAACAACACTAGAAATTGCACAAAATGGACCTCGATATACAGGAGTTGGAGCACAAATTCTTGGTGCTTATGACAAATACATATGTCAATACTCTGAAGAGTCTCAAAACTTTTGGGGAAGTAAGTTTTAATATCAAACATATCTCCTTTTTTCAGTTCTCCTTTACAATGCTTCCATAGCGAGATCAATTTTCTTTAGCTTGAAGTTGAGGTCTTGTTTCATGACAAATCTATGAACTGTTCAGAACTTCCATATATTGGCTGTTCCGTCAATGCCTTGACTTTTGGATCAAGTGCTGCTAACTTTATGTTTAAACATTATTATACACACAAAATTATAGAACGTCATTCCTTCTCCTCCAGACAAATCATAATCTCTACCAGTCAAAAATCCAAATGAATATATTTTTCCCAACACTTCTTTCTTATTGGCTTGTAACATGCATGACAACGTAAATCGTAAGCACCTTTCATTGTTCAGATAATTTGAAAATTTTTGATGTAGGTTAAACTCAAAGGTAGAAGATCTTTTGTTATATGTTTTCTGAGACTTCTGAGCTGTGAATCGTTAGCACATAATGCTTTCTCTGGTCTTAATTGTTGCTCGCTAACGTAGCCCATATTTACAGGCATTGTATAGGTTTGTTTGTTTTTTTTTTTTTTTTGTAATTTAAATTGTCTTTGTTTGATATGGATTGCATTCAGCTGATTACTCGATGTGATAGATAAGCAGTATCGGCATGGTCAGGTTTCCCCATTATAAGCTTTAGCCTTTAGCTTTGATGTGCATGATTTTGATATGTAAAATAATCTTTTCAAAGTGAGGTTATAATCTTAAGCTTTGATGTGATTGGTTTTGATATGTAAAATAATCTTTTCAAAGTGAGGGAACGATGCATCTCCAACACTTGCTTGACCGACGACCCTAAGGTTGCAGTTTATTACATGTACTGAAATATTAGATATGATATATTTGTTGGGAGAACGATCATATATATTCGAAACGTGTTTACTTGGTTTGATTTGTTAAATATTATTGAGTACATATGCCTGTTAGTTTGGCACCTCATATCCCTTGATTCTCAGAATGCATCTTTAAAGAATTGAACCTCTTAATATAGGCTATGGTTTTTTTGGATATCTTATTTTTTCAAAAAAAAAAAAAAATTGGGTTCTAATGCTAGGTTTTTAATGCATAGGTAGGCATGAGCTGAGTCTGGGCAACAGTTTTGCAACTAAAGGAGGGTTTAAGCCTCCAAACAAGGAAGTTCCTCCGGAGGTTGAGATGCTTTCTTAGATTGTATTGTTTCTTTAATGTTGAAGACTTGTTCTTTTCTTTCTCTCTCCTATATAAGTGTGATCAAGTCATGAAAGATTTGGATACTTTTTCCTAGAAAAATTTTGGCCGATTGGAATCTCTCCTTGCTTCAACTATTGTTGTTTCTGGCAGAGGTTGTAAACAATTTTCTATTTTCTTATGGGTAACCCTTTTTTTAGGAATTCCATACAAAGATAGTGGAAGGTTTTCAAGTGACTCCGCTTTGGCATCAAGGATTTATTCGTGATGATGGCAGGTGTTTCTCTCTCTTTTACTTCTTTATAGAGTTGTTAAGACTGTGTTGAGAACCTTTAACTCCAGTTCTTTTCCTTAAAATAGATTTCATTAAAGTTGAATGCTAATGTCTCTTGTGGAATAGTCCCAAAAAAAAGGTCTCTTGTGGAAATGACTTGGTTAATTTTTGTTGCTTTCAAAATATAGTATAATTTGGAAGTAATTGTCTTTGCATTCTGTATCAAATTTGTGATGGTCACTTGTAGAGAGTCCTTAGAGGACTTAATAACGCTAAGTCAGATAGTTCCTCTCGTTTTCTGCTGTCTTCAGTTTAGTTTATTGCTTATTCCTTTCCTTGAGATACTTAGATTGTCCTATGTTGTTATTCAATCACTGAGAAACGAACAGAATTTTCTTTTGCATTATTTAATTTATATAGAGAGCAGACGCATACTTTTTGTCACTTCTTTCCCCCTATACAAGTAACATTTTGGTTGTTGGTGTTGATGTGATGAGCCAAGGAACCAAGGACCAAATGAAGATCTGACTTAATTGTCACTGTTTCCCCCTTTTTCTTTTCTGTCTTGGTTGTCACTTTTTCATTCTCTTCCGATGTCATCTGAAATTTCGGACTCAGTTACATTCATTTTTGCTACTGCCAATCCCAATCCCAATATCATTTACTTGGCATTTGATGGTGCTTGCCTAACTTCCACTTGCTTCCAAACAGTCCGATTCCTTTTCGCTCACCTCTTGTAGGAATGCTGTACCTAGCTCCTCAAATGGTTTCTTATTGGATGATGCCATTTCTTAGTACCTCATACATTTCCAGCAATATTTTTCTTTTTCTCTGGATCCATTTTTTAGATGAAATGTGTTCACTGTTCCTAAACTGATTTAATAATAGGAACTAGAAATTATAAAAAAAAAAAAAGGAACTAGAATTTGATATAAGGAAAATTATAAGATCCCAAATCATTTGGAGAGGCCTAGACTCTTCCAAAACTAATCCCAAAATCTCCCTCTCCAACCCCTCTAACTCTAGCGGGCTCTATTTATAACCACCAAAATTCCAACAAACTCATCTGCTAATTGCTATTATGTGCATAATAATATTCATAATAACTATCTAATCAAAAGGAAAAAAAAAATCATAATAACTCATCATCCAAATCTTATCCAGTAGATTGGACAACTTGAAGAAGAGAAACTCCCTTCCTCTTGATAGGATAATTTTCTTCCATTTTTGCACCTTGTGAATAGCAGTGCTTCTGAATACAAGATGTTGGATTGGCCTTTTCTTTCTCCCCTCCCCCGTATTATTTATAAACTCGTTATTATATACCAACTTTCAACCATCATGGATTGACCTAGTGGTCATTAGGGTCAATGAGAAAATTAAACGGCTTTAAAGGAATGAGTTCAAACCTAGTGGTACATTACCTAGGACTTAGTATCTTACAAGTTTACGAGTTTTCTTGATAACCAGATGCAATAGGGTTAGGCGGTTGTCTGATAAAGTAAGTCAAGTTGCGTGCAAGTTGGTCCGAACGCTTCACAACTATTAAAAAATATATATATATCACCACAAAAAGAAGGTTCTGACCAAAAACGGGAAACAACACTCAGAACATTTACAAGATTTTAAATAGATTTATTTTAAGGCCTAAAACATATTCAGGCACATAAAGGATATTAGTACTTGTTTTAGTTTCTTCTACTTTTTTGAGCAGAATAAAAGCGAAAGCCTATATCTCAAATTAGATATGGGAGGTGGATTTTTTTCTTTCTTCCAAATAGTGATCAAAGGGGTTTGGACCTGCTTGAATTTTGTTGAGAATGGCATAAATTATTTTTCCAGCTGTTGAACTATATTTGTTTTTGGGGCTTGAAATCAGTATATCAAGCAGGTGGAAACTGGAAACATTGTTCATCTAATATTTCTTCTAGAAGGCATAAAAACAACTGTATCTCAGATTCTATCTTTTTTTGGTACACTGGTTGACAGCCCTTAATGACAGGACAAACTATTTGGAAACTGTAAAAACTGCTCGTTGGGAATACAGTACCCGCCCAGTTTATGGCTGGGGAAATGTTGGATCTAAGCAGAAGTCAACAGCTGGCTGGCTTGCTGCCTTTCCCGTATTTGAACCTCATTGGCAAATATGCATGGCAGGCGGGTTATCAACAGGCATGTTCAAACTTTTAATCAGGTTACCTTGGAAATTTGTCGTTGGACATGGTGCAGTACTTCTAATTATGTTAAGTTTTTTATAATAGCACTGTGTTGGGTTTGTGGTACGGTATGAGGATTTGGTTATGGTTATATATATGTAGATATGTAAGTATGTATGTTCATGCATTGTATTTTGATAAGAGATAGTTTCACCAAAAGGGAGAAAGAGATAAAAGAACAACAAAAGCCCAAGGAGATGAAGAATCCCTGGCTAAGAGAGGTATTATACAAGAAACTCCCAGTTTACGTAATAAATGAATGGTATATTTATTTGGGACATTCAGAATTTAGATAGCTATTTTTACCATGACACTTACTTGTCTCCTAATTAGTGCTGTATATATAACTTGTAAGAGAGAAGGAAACGCTGGAGCGTACTCGTGTCCTGGTTGCTTCTAATATTTAGAACATCATTCTGTATTTTGGGTTGAGAGGTGCTGTTCCCTGGAAGTGTGGAGGAGTTGCTATTTCTTCTATTTGATCATCCTTTCAAGTAGGCAGCTAATATTCTTTGGTTAAACGTCTTTAAAACTTAGATTCTTTAGTTTGAAAAAAATAGATGAATCTTGGAGAAGAGATGTCATTTAGGAGTATGCCTTTTTTCCCACCCTCTTGGAGCTTGTTGAATTAGCTTTTTTATAATTATATTTTTAGTACTATTTGTGTCTTTTTTTTTAATTGCTCTCCTCTATTCTCTTTGTATGTTAGAAAATCATTTTTTAACCCTAAACTTGGTAAGTTAGATCAAATTTCACCATGAACTTTCAATTTCATCAAATTGAGCCCTAACTTAGATAAGTATTGCAATTTTTATATTCTATTCGATTTCTGCTTATTCACCCACCAATGTTTACAGAAAATAATGTAAAAAGCTAAAAAGAAACCACCAATTTAATGAAAAATCAATCTTTGCACAAAATTGACCATTAATTAACTCTACCAAAACTTACAAATTTCTCCAAAAAAAAAAAAAGAGCTCTATTGTCATTTTTGTTAGAATCTTATCAATTTCATATGAAATATATGATTTATAACTCATTTGACTCATATGAGAATACTTTTTTCAACAAAATTTCAAACAAAACCTATCATAGGGTAACAATTGCAACACTTTTTAAAAGTTTATGGTGAAGGTGCAATTAAATGAAATTGAAAGTTCAAGGTAAAAATTTATATACCTTGCAAAGTTCAGGGTTAAAAATGATATTTTCCTTTTTTTCTCTCCTCCTTGAAGCTTGCACATCTCCTTATAGGTACTAGTTGGTGGATTGTTATATGAAGTAATTATATATCGTGCTAAAATCTTTCATTTGAATATGTGTGTGTTAATTACTATATCATGGAAATATTGTTTCATATCATGTAGCTTTCACTCTAATTTTATTTTATTGGAAAAAGTTAAAGCAGAGTTTCGCATATTTCCTGAAATTTTCGATATGAATCTCAGGTTGGATTGAGTGGGATGATGAAAGGTTTGAGTTTGTAAATGCCCCTTCTTACAGTGAAAAGAATTGGGGTGGAGCATTTCCCAGAAAATGGTTTTGGGTAAATTTTTATCGCTTTGCAAAATAAGAAAATTTAACTTATTCTTTCTATATTCTACAAATTTGAAGTTCAGCATAGAGTTCAGCATGCCATGCAAATATGGCCTATGAAAATGTAATGATATCCAGTGGACGAGAAGTTAAAAAATGACGTTAAACGAGGGTTAAATTTTGCACTACTTAAATTTGGATCAAGAAACATGAAACAGGGAGCGTTGAATCTTTTAATGTTAGAAAATTCATAAAAGGAGGTCAATAAATTAAACTGTTAGGAATTAAGTCTGCCTCTAACTGGCCCATGCAGAGAGGAAATTTTCTCTGTTTTTTATCGTTGATGAGGCCATAAAAGATTATACCATCTGTATACCTAATGGGATGAAGTATGCTATATTTTCTTGTTTACTTCCGTGGCATATTGCACCTTGTTGCTTGACTGACTCGAATATTGTTGAACCTTAGCTACTTTTTAACATACTGCAGGTCCAGTGTAATATTTTTGAAGGTGCTCAGGGAGAAGTTGCTCTTACTGTTGGTGGAGGGTTGAGACAACTTCCTGGATTGACAGAAACCTTTGAAAATGCTGCATTGGTAGTATTCTGTGGCTCTACATTGCGTTTTCTCTCTCTTTATACTTAAACACACAGACAGAGCCCCCAACCCCCGAGTTTGTGGCTCTAAAAATGTGATCCACTCTCTTTATACTTAGAAAAAGAGAGAGGGAGGGAGCAGGGTCGTGGATTGATGGAATAATGCTTGGAAAGGTAGGAAATGTGGGGGTCAGATGGGCCTTTAACCAACTAATAATGATATTTGTGATATCTTAACTGTTGCAGGTTGGAATCCACTATGATGGAATCTTTTATGAATTCGTGCCATGGAATGGAACTATTAACTGGGAAATAAGTCCTTGGGGCCATTGGCATGTTGCTGCGGAAAATGAAACCCACAAGGTAAATTATGGATCTCTTAGTTCCAGTCTCGGCCCTTCTTTGGGCAGTTAAAAGCAATCTGATGGATGCAGAATACTTGATTGCCTGTGAAAATACAGTCTTTAGCAAGTAAACAATGATTTCAAAGCATATCAAATAATCAAAAGAACCTTTGAAGCGTTTCTTTGGAAAATCATGCAAAAGCAAAGATCATTTCCAAGTATTTGAACTCTCGTCTCTGCACAGGTTGAATTAGAAGCCAAAACAGACGAGCCTGGTTCACCCTTGCGTGCTCCTACATCAGAATGCGGCCTTGCCCCAGCTTGCAAAGATACTTGTTTTGGTATCTTAAAATTGCAAATGTGGGAACGAAGATTTGATGGCAGCAAAGGCAAGGTGACAGTTTTCGATAATCTTATTTATATTAACTTTCCTGTTTCTGTTATCTATTGATTTCATTTGGTTTGCACAATTGCACTTGCCCATTATGTACATGAATTCAAGGGCTAAATACGTTTCTTGCTTTTGTTTTTCTCTGGCCATAGTTTGCCATGATTGAAAACCAGCTGAAAACCTCCCTATGTTTAGCATACCTTAGGTGTGTCCATACAAACGTGCATGCATGTATACAGGCGTCAGGCATAGTTGGAGAAATTACTGATGCTGTGATGCTTTATGATGATTTAGAGTACCCTGTGATCTTAGCATTCTGCATGGAGGCCTTTTTACTGGCTATAATTCACAATAGTGATTCAAAATTTCGAGTTAAAGAGGTGTAGACTATTCTCTCCAGCATGCAAAGACATAGTGAAGAAGAAAGGAGGAGAATTGCCCCCTCTGGTTTCGTCATAGATTTAAGAAATAAATTTTTTTTCCCTCTAATTTGTTCTCTCATTATCTATATTACATAATATTGAATATATATATAAATTAGAATGTAAAGTTTTGTCCCTGATAACATGATTTGTGATTAATATGCTTATTATTAAGTCTTCTATTCTTAGTGGTATATAAAACTTGTTCAGGCTCTTCATATTTGATAGTTAGATAAGTATAATTCTTGATTTGCAGATTGTATTGGATGTTACAAGTAACATGGCAGCATTGGAAGTTGGAGGAGGACCTTGGTTTAATCCTTGGAAGGGAGAGACTACCACACCAGAGATCCTCAAGCGTGCTCTTACAGCACCAATTGATGTGGATCAAGCTTTTGACTTGCTTCCACTTTTCAAGCCTCCTGGCTTGTAGTCTGTTGATCACTGAATACAGTGGCTGCAGAAGGAATGAAGTGAACCATCGCGTTTGTGCTGGTTCGGGCATCCTTCGTAACATATAGTTTTGTCCTCATACTTCAAAAAGTTTCCCCAAACGACCGGCAGGTTAGAGCCACTTCTCTGTGAATGGGATCAGTTCACTTTTCGTTAAAACACAAGTGAAATTATTTTGATTACAAACCCTAACAGATTGCGAAGTATCGATATTGTGGGGATCAAGTGGTTTTTTGGAGAAATAGTATGCAGAATAGTTTTATAAAATTTTCTACAGAAGTGCTTTAGAATTGATCATATTTATTTGTTGTTTGGTTAAGTTATTTCAATTTTTGTTAGTACAAACAAGTGGGATTCGAACTTACCATTTTTGGATAGGAAATAGGTGATGCGCATTAATTCAGTTGTTTGTTCTGTCTTTGTTTGCTTGTGGGCAGAGTCTTTCTTTCATTTTTGGCCTCTTTTCCTTCCTGTCCATTCCAATGTCCGTGACTCAGTGGCATCTCACTTCATTAAATGGCTACGTACTAATTTGAAAATAGTACCATCTTGCGTGGTCCTCTCTCTTGACAAGATCAAGAAGTTAGAGAAAATAATGGATTCATCTCGTGAGTAGGCTGATTGCTGAGCGACTTTTTTTTTAATTTTTTTTAAATAAATTTGTTTGGTCGGTCGGTTTGCGGCTACCGGTTCATCATTCAAACTGATTGGCTGACATAGGTTCAATCGATTTTTATTGATTGAATTGATTTTTCGACTTCATTTGTGCACTCCAATTGTTGGGGACATACTTGGGTACCGAGAGATTCTTGCTATCCACTGCTAAATATTCGATAGGTAGGAAAAATGAATGTACTGATTGAGGGACAGAGATTAGACTTTTTATTTCTTTATTTTTTTTTGAAGTAAATACATTTTAAGGATTTCTCTCCCTCCCGAGATCAAAAAGTAGATAAGAGGTTGTTTTGAATTCTATTCGGATTATGTTTCTTATTTTATTTGATTCATTGTATATTTGTTTGGCAAATTTATTTTTGGAAATTATTTTCGAATTTGTGAAATTCAAAGAACATCATTTTTACGTTTTTAGATTTTGATCTTGAAATTTTAAAATGCAAAAATTATATTAGAAAAAGATAAAAAATTTTATAAATATAATATTTCATGTTATAAACTCGTTTCGTTTTTTAAATTAAAAAATGTAAAATATAATATATTATAAATTATATGATATTACAAAATAATAATTCTACAAAATTTATAATTATGTCAATAAATTAATTAATATTATTTTAAAGTGAACTAAATATTTAGTCGATAACTACTAATAGTCTATAAATATATTATTAAACATGTCGAATAATTAAAAAATTGATATTCAAGTATATTCAATTTTTAAATCTGTTATCGACCACCTATCTAAAGATGAATTATTTATTTATGTTTCCTCATCAAATGTATTCTTAGATTTTCATATTTAGAGTATTTCTCTTTTCTTTTTCAAAAAAGTGAAAAAAAATTTATTTCCCTCCTAAGATCAAAAAGTAATAAAATTCTCATATCTAATCCATTTTCATCTTTTTTCAAAATCTTTAATCTATCTCTCCTTTGGATTTTCTCCTACTTCCCCAACAATTAAAGTTTAAATCCCCACTCTCTATTAGGAAACAAAAAACTTCAATCTTTAAAATTCCTCAAAAGCATTAAACATTTTCAATGAGTTTCTTTTGTACATTTTATTAGTTTTTTATTTGTTAACAAATAATGATTATTATTTTGTCAAGTTAGATAAAAATTAATTTTAAACTAATATGAAGACTAGTTCAAAATTTCAATAGATAGATTAAATTTGAGCATTTAAAAGTACAGAAACTAAACTACTAAACTGGAACAAGCTTCAACCTACGTGGACCAATAATACTAATTATTAGTGGCACCTCACATTTATTATAATTTATTATAATTGACACTTCCATGACCATCACCCATGATATCATTTTTACTCTAAAAGGAACATGTAAATAGTACTAGAAGGGGCAACTACAATCTATCTAACAGTGATACATAATCTTGAATGCAAACTTTAAAGACTTTGTGGGCCAAAAAATCCCAAAAGTGAGACCATCTCCGAGTAAGAAATACATCCAAGTCTGAAGAAAAGTGCAATCTTCTCCATCCCTAAGATGAAGGCAAGTTCCTATACTCAAAGTCTTGTATCTCACTTGATTCATTTCCTTGTATCTTCTCAGAAAACCCATAAGCCCTGTTATACAGAAGATAACCACAAAGGTTCACCAAAGCCAATGCAGCACATAACCAGTAAAAATAATCCAAGTGACCCTTATTGAGATTGTTGTCCAACCAGCTTGTCTCATTTCCTTTTCCTGTTATGCCATTTACTATCTGCACAAGAATGCTTCCCACCAAGTTAGCTACAGACATCTCAACTGTGTGTAGAGCAACCGCCATGCTCGACGACACCTTCGATATTTTCGAGAAGAAATACTCAATCTGTCCGACTGCATTAAAACCTTCGGCAACTCCCAGGACTACACATTGAGGCACTAACCATAGAGCTGACATGTCAACAACAGCATTTGGTTGGTCTTCTAGACCTTCTTCTATGGCAATTCTACGCCTTGTAGCTTCAACGACCGCGGCAATGGCCATTGCAAAGCATGAGAGAAGCAGGCCAATTCCGATTCTCAATTCAGGACTGAGTCTTCCAGCATGACCACATCTTTTCAGTAAAGGCATAATTATTCGGTCATAAAAGACAAGCCACAGGGATAAAGAAATAATCATGAACACATTGATCGATCCTGCGGGGAATTCGAAACTACCGGTGATGTGCCTGTTCATAATCTTCGCTTGGAGTGCGCCTAATGCGTTTTGATTTATGCAGACAACCATGATAATGCCTGTTGACCACACTGGGATGATTCTTATAAAATTTTTGAGCGACTCTACTTGATCCACAGAGCACAGGTTCCATGGATTTGACACTGAGCCATCTGGATTTAAATCATTCTCAGCATCTTTTATAAGACAGGCTTTATTCAGACACCTACAGGAAGGCGGAATTGTACCGATCAGACTTTTCATCATATTAGGGACAGAACTGGGAATTGTCAATAGTAAATGGATAAATTTACAGTCAAAGGATGCCTAGTGTAACTTTTTATGAATCAGTTTAAGGAGTCATCTCATTTCCCAGGCAATGATTTAGACATCAGAACATAATCCCAAGCAGAAAAGTAATTTGGCAAATTCAAGAACATAACAATTCATTGAGATACATACCTCATAGAATCAGTTGGGACAAGGAGCTTCGGGTCATGACCAAGGTAGTACTGATCAAAGTTACTATAAGGGAGTGACAATCTTCTGTTCTTAAATGCCACCACAATTACTTGAAAAATTCCAGTAAACAAACTCTGTGCAGGCTTCACTTTCACATAAAGAGAAGAACCCGCTAGGAATATTAGCGCAGACAAAAGCATGAGAACTGCAGGAACTACATATCCAGTGCCCCATCCAAATTCATCTTGAATGTACACAATAACAGTCATTCCAATAACTGTAGATATCCCACTTGCTGCATAATACCAATTGAAGTAGGTATCTAAGACACCCTTGTTACTGGAATTTTTCTCATTGGTGAGTTGATCTGCACCAAAGGCCATAGAACATGGTTTAATGCAACCAGCTCCAATGGAAATAAATCCCAAAGAAGTGAACAGTACAGCGAGCTGGTACAGATTAGCAGAGTCGCACAATATTCCAGATGATGAACAAGATGAAGGTTTCAGTTGCGGGATCGTTGCTGTTAACCACAAAAGAGCCATCCCCTGAAGAAATAAAGCAAACCACATAATTTTACACACGCAGCTGGAGCAAAATATAGAACCTGCCCTTAAAAGAATTTCTATATAAAATATAACTCAAACTATCAAGTGATCAATGGCACAAGCAAGGGGATTCCAGGCCCAGAGAGTTTTGGAGGTTCATATACTTTCTATTGATCCTATGAGGTTTCTTTAAGCATACCACAAAACAAGCAAGCAGCAAAAGTCCATACCCAAGGATACAATTTTATAACTATCCCACACAACAGTGATGAATTAAAAAACCCCTTTCCAAAACGAAAAATAATGGTTAAAAATCACATAATTTAGTTCCTCTAGTTTAAATTTAGTCCCGATGTAAGATTTTAAACGACAAAGACTAAGTTATTAGTAAAGTTTAGGAACTAAATTATTAGTTCAATGAAAGTAGGGCATATTAGCATTACATCAATAGAAACAGTTCAATTTCGAGAATCAACAAGGCTTACAAGGAAGCTACAAAAGGAGCCGAGAATTATAACGCGGAAACGCCCCATGTAAGAATCAGCCAGAACAGCTCCAGCAATCGACAAAGCATTGGAAGCAGCGGACCACAGAGATAGAACGCTAGAAGCAGCAGCAATCTGAAACCCGTACTCGTCCCTAAAGTAGAACATCATGTTAGGACTTAGCCCCAAACTTGAAATCTTCTCAAAAACTTCATTAGCTGCCGGAAATAGACGCAAGCAAAGCCACAAAGACACAGAGAGCTCGTCATAAATTTAATTTAGAAAGAGAAGCTACTGAAATCAGTGAGGGAATCGAACTAAATACCGATTATGAAGGGCATTGTTCTTAAACCGCCAGTTCTGCAATTCGAAGCTTGATGGGTTCCCTCGCAACTGCTTTTGGCGATTCCCGTCTTCTCCACATTTTCCACAACCTCCATTCTCTCCAACAATCTCGCGACCTTCAACGTTCACAGGTAGTTCTCGATTCCAATCTCTCTCTCCCCAACGCAAATTTATTGAAAGAGTCGCTCATTACTCTGCAGTCTGCAGGGAAAAAGAATGGCAGGTGGTCCAGCATTGTGCCAAATCAATTGCAGTGACAAGATGCAAAAATCTTTTTATATTTCATTGGCTGCTGCTATATTACTTTTTTTTTGTTGTGCGAATTTTTAAAATCGTGTTATTTTAGCATTGGCTCATGGTAAATTACTTTTTTTTTTTTGTATGCGAATTTTAGAAAACGTGTTATTTTAACATTGGCTCTTGGTACATTACTTTTTTTGTCTCTTCGTAAATTATTATTATTATTATTTTTTGTCTCTCACTAACATTAACGATAGCCAAAATCTGTATTTGTAACCTATTTTCAATTTGGTAAAAACAATTACAATATAATAGCAATAATGATAATAACATTTAACGGTAGCGACAGTAGTAGCAGTGATAGCGATATAGTTTGTATTAGCAATATACTTTCAATTTTTTTTCTTAATTCCTTATTTTTCTCTTTCAATTTTTTTCCAACTCTGGTTCCATTTTTTTCTTTCAACTCTCGTTCTTTATTTCTCTTTCAATTTTATCTCTATCTCTACATTCATATGTACCGCTACTTATATCTATACTTGTATCTCTGACTCTACCTTTATTGACACAAGATTTTGATTTTGAGTATTTTGAGTTAGGAAAAAAAAAATTCAAGATTTTGGTTTTGAGACCAAAGGGAAAAAAATATTAAAGTAATTAACAACGCAAAAATTATGTTATTTATCTGAGAAATTTGAGCCATTCAAGTTGGGAAAAAATCAAACTCAACTAGGGAAAAAAGGAATGAGTTAATAAATAAAAATAGAAATAAAATTCACCGAGCAAAAATAGCCCAAAAATTTAAATGGCTAAAAAAATTAACTAAAGAAAAAACAAAAAGAAAAAAACAATGAATAAATGGTTCAACGAGAATGGGGCAAAATGTAATTTTCCATATAGATGACACAACAAAATATTTTATAACAAGAACCTATTCTGTTGACACACTAAAATTTAGGTCATTGCATCCAATCTACCCTTATCAATATATTTATTTACATAACTGGCACAAATAATAAATAAGAAAGTACTAAAAATTGAAATGGGTGGCTAACGAGCTAATTTGATTCACAAAATAAGATTGGAGCAACGGTGGTCGGTAGCAAAAATATTTTATGTATTTCAAAAAATACCACCAACTTTTTTCAAAGGCTGCATTCATGGCAATCATCTTAAATTTTCAAATAATGCAAAATATTTAAATTTTATTTTCAGAATTTTATTATTCCAACCTTTATGATATATGATATACATCCGATGTATATCTATATCTGATATATATCCGATGTATATCTGTAACTGATATACATCAAATCTACATATGATATACATCTGATGTATATTTGTAATTGGAATACATCCAATCTACATCTGATGTACATTCAATTTATATCTGATGTACATCCATTTTACCTGTGATGTACTTTCGATATACATTTGATGTACCTTTGATATACATCTAATGTACCCCTAAATCTGGTCAATACTAGGGTATTCATCAAAATAGTTTAAACATCTAATCAATCTAAACTCCCTCAATCTAAATCTTACAAAGTTCTCATTTAGTTTGAATATCAGAGCATCCTATGGGCTCTTTTCAGATATTTGACGAATTAGATGCACTAATAACTGTAATCTCCTAATATTAAATGACAGAAAGTATCAAAATGGTCCACTTCTAAAGATTTCTATTTGGGTTGGTGTTAGCATCTTGAGAATGTTATATATTGATTCTAATTGTGAATATTGTTACGCTTTTGCACCAGAATATCATATTTCATTCTCCTGTTAAAGTAAAATCAGCATTATATCATATGTAAATCAGACCATCACATCAATAGTATATAATATACTCATATTAGTAGTATATCAAACAATCATTTCAGTAGTATATCAAACAATCATATCAATAGTATATCAGGCGTATATGAAATTATGCATCAGTAGTATATCAAATACGAATATCAACAGTATATTAGAAACTCAAATAAATAGTATTTTAGATATACATATCAGTAGTATATCACACACTCATATCAGTAGTATCAAATTTATATCAAACATACATATTGATATAAAACACTCATATCAGGCGTATATAAGATTATGATATCAGTAGTATATCAAACACAAATATCAGCAATATATCATATGGAAATCAGAGGAAAATCAAAACATAGGATTTTCTAGGCTTATTTTTGGGTTTCTTGTATTTGTGTTTAAGCCAGCATGACAATGTTGTGTTTAGTATATGTGGACCTCCACTTTTTTTTTTTAAAAAAAAAGTGCTATATCTGAATAACCAAAACATAATTACTATTTTACTTATTTTACTTTTTCTTTTGTCATATCTCAAGTTCACCGAGAGATTTTCCCATTAAAAAAGGGTGTAAGATCAGTAAAGGGTCAACAACATAGACAGCCTCTTTTATGTCTTTAACCTTATATCACAAAAGCGTTCAAATTAAAAAGTATAGTCTTTTCATTTTTGTCTAGTAGTATATTAAAGTTTGTGATTCTTATTGGTATTAAATTTACCAATTTGTCCTTGCATTTATACACGTACAATAAAACCAAACAAGAAAAGTCTACAACTAAGCCATTCATTTAAAAAATAGTCGTTTAGCAATATATTTATAAATCAGAGAGGTATTTATGCATTAAATATTTAGTTTAATCTAAATTTATATTGATTAATTTATTAACATTTTCTTATAAATTTTATATAATTATTATTTTATAATGTTATATAATTTATATTACATTATATTTTACATGTTTCAATTTTAACGAATATAACATTAGTTTATAATATGACATAATATATTTAAGTTTTTACCATTTTTAATGTTATTATATTTTAAAAATTTTAAATTTTGAATCTCAAAACACTAAAAACATACCAAAGTCGTTTTCAAAATTTATACTATTTGGATCATAGAATCGAAAAAGAATTAAAAACAGTTTTAAAAAACTAATCTCCCAAATTATGCTTTAATACATTTGATTTGAATCTGAAAACAAAAAAAAAACAGAATTCGAATTTCCAACCAAATATATCTTAGATTATCTGCAAAAAAATAATATTCATTGTCCTTGAACACCATTAGGGCAAAATAAGATTTCCCCATCGAATGAAGAGAACTATAATATTCATTGTCCTTGAACAGTTAGCGGCATTAGGGCAAAATAAGATTTCCCCAAAGAGTGTAAGTTCGAGAAAGAGATGACAACATAGACAGCCTATTTTATGTCTGTCCAAAAAATTACTGATTTTACATTTTTGCTTAGGACGAAAGATTGAGGAGAAGCTTTTATATAATTCCTATGTAATCCAATTGTCTATATGCTACTCGACCACAACAAATTTTAAAATGAGCTTCCTCCTAAATTAGGAGGGAAGTTTTTTTTCTTTTGTAGTATATTAAACTTGAGAATCGAATTTACCAATTTGTCCTGGTACATAAAATAACAATCATACCCACTATTTCATATTTTTGCCCCAAAACCTTGTAGATWCACAATTTTGGTCTTTGTATTTTTAATGGAGTAATGATTTAATCTTTGAATCTTAATTTATAATAATTTAGTCATTATATTTTTAAATTAATAACAATTTAATCTCTAAACTTTAGCATGTAATAATTTAATCTATATAGTCTAGAATTTGTAATGATCTAGTCTCTATCGAGAAAAATATTATTAAATTTCTTATAGATTTAAATCGATAAATTGACGAGGGTTGAAATATGTTTATAAATTGCAAATATTAAACTGTTATATAGTAACAATCAACACTTAATTTTGAAAAAACAAATCCACGGTAGAGACTCAATTGTTACAAATTTTAAACCATATGGATTAAACTATTACCTATAAAGTTCAATAACTAAATTGTTACCAAATGTACTTTTGAACCTACAAAATAAATTTGGTATATATATTTCATTTTTGTATATATTTAAAATCAAGGAAAAAATATATTTTTAGTTTTGAAGTTTGAAATAGGTGTCTATTTGATCTTTTGAAATTTTAAAATAAAYACTTTTGATTTCTAAAGTTTGGACAAAGTGTCTATTTGGTCTCTAACACTCATAGAATCAACCGGGATACGTGTAAACTAATCCGAATATTCGTAAATATAAAAAAAATCTAAATATATTATTATTATAAATTTTATATTATACATGTTCTCGTCCATAGTCGTCGGAGACGAGGATGATTCACATGATTCACGACTCTTACAAAAGACAAACACCTTTTCTTTATTATTATTATTTTTGTTCTCTATTCTGGAAATGTATAATTTATATTTCCCAAATGTACTTACCTTGGGATTATGCATATTTAAATAATTCTTTTTTAAAAAAAGAAACAAAGGCTCAATTATTGTCCGATATTTAAATGATAGAGTAAAATTTAACAAGGGACTAATACTATATATATAGAGAGAGTAATTTTTAAAGTTTAAAATGCTTATTGGTTAATTTAAATTATTTTTTACGAATTTTTTATTTTTATAATTTTTTCAGAAATATCTATGGACATCAATACTTTAGAGATATTTTCATAAAATTAAAACATTTTACATTTCCATGATTTTAACCTTATAACTTTCTATTTAAATCAAGAATTTGAATTATATCTTTAAAACTTAATTTGAAATGGAACCAACTAATAAATCACACAAAAATTAATCATGAATTATTGTTTTAATTTTAAAAGATATCTAATTTAGACATTTGTGAGACATAAAATTGAGAGTTACTAACCTACTAAATATTTTTTATTCCTATTACATACTTTTTTTTGTAGCTACTATCAACAATCAACATATTTTTGTCAAAGCGAAAAGTAATTGACATATATCTCCAATTAAGAGGGGGTGAGTTCGATTTTCCAACCAACATGTTGTACTTAAAAAACAACAAACATACTTCTAAACTTTAAAAAACATTATTCGTCCCTCAATTTTAAAAAATTAAAAAAAATGCTAATTTTTTGAATCAAAAGTAAAGTTCATGATAATTCAAAAAATATCTTTATGAAATTTCAATACAACTTGACCTCTCATAAACATTT